AACTTATTCAAACTATAAGACTTCAGATATATATGTTAGTTGCGTTTTGAATCTTTAGTTAAAACACGTGTTTCTAGTTAAGTACTGTGTAGTTTACGCGTGTAGTACAAATTAAAATAAAACCCGCAACGGTTTAAAACGTGAAATATATTAGTCAAGGCCTCCGTGATCACGGTTGCTGCAAAGCATCCGAAACGACGGGCCGTAGTTAAAATAATCTTTAAATGCGTTCATTCATATGTTTCGCATTTTTAATCATATTTTTTATTACTACTAAACAAAAACAAAAACAACAGATCTAAACGCAATATTATTAATACACTTTATGCTCCTATTTTAATACAAGGAATTTATGTAAAGTCACAAAACAGTATAAACTACCATATTCCTTAAAATAACGCCCCATCTAGAACAACTAGATTATTTGAAGACATTTTCCATTACAATCTTATTAGTTGAATGTTCGTACGTTGTTTTAATTGGCTGAGATTTCTAGTGAATGAAGCCGTCTTAAATGTGCTCAACAGAACGGAAATGTAATTTAAAATGGAGAATTATAATTAAGGCTAAATCTTTTTAGAGATAATTGTTGTATGTAAGCCCTATTTTTAATATTTAAGCTTCATTTGTGCACAATAATCCGAAGATCGGGATGAAACTTCCATCCGACAAATTACAACGAGTTCTTCCCTCTCGACAATCAATTATTATTATTTATATCGACCTACATAATCCTAATAATAAATTTATTTTCTCAACAGCTTCCGATTCAATAGAGGATATTCATCTCATCGAATAATATTTATTATTTACGTAAGATGGCGCACTCCAGCGAGATTGTGAAGATTTCATTTCAATTGTACTCGTTTTGATGATATATACCGGGGCTTGGTTAACTTCCATTTATATTCAGGGTATACAACATTTACGTAGCGTTTATTTAAGTGCTTTATATCTTTAAAAATGTAATTACAAGAGCGATATGTATAGTCAGGTCGTTTTCATAATTAAGGCTAAAAACGTATAAGAAACAATCTAAATTGTTCGATTAAATTACATTCTTAACCGTCTAGAATCTTATAAACGTTGGTATAAAAATCTTAGTCTAAAAATAATTATTTAAAAGTTATCCTGAACCATAAAAACGAGTACGATATTAATAAATGACGAATAAAACTGAAAAATCATAACATGTGAAACTTTTGTTTGTAATTTTTTAATACATTTTCATTTAAAAGTGAAGTGTAAACTTATCTACTTTTATAAATTCTAACTTTATATGAATTATAAATCGATTTTTAATTTATTGACATTTGTCATGTGACACGTGAAAAATATTAAAGTTTACAAATTCCGACTTCAATGTGACCTTAAATAAATAAAATAAATAAATTGTAGCTAGGTACACGCTGTGAAAAAGAGTTAAACCGTAAAAATTTCAAGCAATTCAAGTTTTAAACACCTAGGCTACAGCCGGCAAAGGCAAAAACGGATAAAGGAAAAACGTAGGAAAAATTCGGAGTTGTCGGCTTTTGCGATACCTGTTTTTTTGCTTTTTTTCATTCTTTTTTTTTCACATTCCAGCGCAACCCGAATCAGTTCTACATTGGCAGGACGCAGCAATTTTCTACTCTCCGTGTAGCTGTTTTTTATTTTGTTGGAGATACGGCGACTATGGTTTCGCATTTTTGATTTACATTGGTTATATTAAATTTTGATTGACCAAAGGGTAGCGTACCTTTGTTTACACAGTATAGAGTAAATAAAACACTCCTAACGGCTTAAAACATATTTTTGTGAAAATTTCAACGTAACTACGATCCGAATTTTAAAATCTCTCACGAGACTACTGCACTAAACCTTTTTTTTTATTTTTACAGTAATCATAACATAAGAATACTATATTCAAACTGTTGTTTGTAGTTTGAAGTTTATAAGTTACGTATGTGAATAAATGGCGTTATACTTTGTTTTGAAAGTTATTTCATATTAGTAGATATAACTGAAAAACTGAAGTATTTTAATTTATGGATAAAATTAAAAATTAGTAAGCTTACAATAAAACATAGAATTATTGTAGCGTTTACAATATTTTTTAGCCAGTTCTGTCCAAGTATTAGTGTAGCAAACTAAAACGTAAAAATATATATAGACATAACACATACGGCGTCATGAATGTTAAAAATGCTGCAACTACGAATTCCAAGCATATGCTACGAAACGCCAACTTTTCTCGTGTTGGCTATAATATAAAGCATAGTCTACATACTCCTTACATAAAATAGACGCACAGACAGATTTACGAGCAGCTAAGTACCCGATGGCCTCACGTTCCCACCATAAAACTGTTTGAATTCAACCTCTGAAAGATATAGGAAGTATTTTAATATATTTTCAGGGGAATCTTCTCTTAAAGTAAGTACTAATAACTATATTTTCATTACAGTACGAATTTGACGAGAGTAACAATATATTTCTTAATTATTTGGGTATAATACTCGTCCTTATTAATATTTTTTTGCAAATTATCCTTAAAAAAATCGTTTTAAAAACTAAAATCATTTAAGTATTAAATGGCTCTATTACAAACTATACACTTATTATACTAATGACGTCACCAATATACCGGTCACGTGACAAGTCAGACATAGGAGACAATCAGGATTCTAGCAAAAAAGGCGTTTGCAAGCAAATGACGTCACAGTTATAGCTACATAGTAGAAATCGCGTACGTAAAAAAGTGACTTGATCGAGTATGAAGATTTGATTTTTTTTTTAAAATGATTTCCGATTGATATCTTTTAACGTAAAGTCTATTTATTTTATATACAACGTTTCTAACAAAATGTTTTTCGTACAAACTTGCTTGAATTAAAAAAAATAAATTAATTCAAATTTACGCCATTAAATAAACACAATATAATGTTAAGAGTAAAAAGAAACGCGTAGAATGCATTAACAATCTCATGATCTGCATACTTGGTTCCTAATAGATTAGTATGGAAATATATTTTTTAAAATTACAAGAACGAAGGTTTTTCAAAGAAATAAGGTAATAACAGCCCCTTTAGAGCAAATCCTCTTTTAATGAAGCCGATGCACGCTCAATACGCTCTCAATTCTATGCAGTTTTATTATTTTTTGTGGAGCATTTTAAAAAATATTAAAGCTGTCTCGAGTGTTGTCTGTTTCATAAAATGAACATTAGAATACAAGTTAATACTGTTTTACTTAGTTCTTTAATAACCTGATTTACAATATTCTTATTAATTAATAAGAGCTTATTTCTACTTATCGTATTAGTGTTTTAATCATTTCCTTTCTAGGAGGTTTTTACCCGTATTTTTTTATGATAGGGGAGAATGGACATGGCTTGGGGCTCACTCGATGGCAAGAGATATACCCCAGTTTTTTTGCTTTGTATATTCGGAAATCCACAGACTGAAATAGAAACGCGATTAAGCTTAATATTTTTCATCTGTGGACGGTGGTTGTATAGGCATAAAAAACGATATTCTTATTTACTTTTTTACAATACAACATCTTATTATTTTTGTATTTACATATAACCTTAGTCAACGTGTAACCAACACGTCAAGATGGGATATTATTCAAATATCGAACGGCTTTGACAGATGACGTTCAGTTTACCGCGTAATGTCTTATGGCGTTTGTTAAGGGGCTAGTACATCGAATAATGATACTAAATTTTGAAGTATTACTATTTTATATTGTTACTGCCTCCTTGTAACCGTTGTTTTGTTATTTGCAAGATTAATATTATTGCATTGATATAACTCTTATAAAATAATAATGAAGGGTAATAATGTATTGGTTTTCGAAAAACGATTTTGTGAGATAATCTTAAAAGATAGAGTTATACTGTAACAGACATTGTTACAGTATAACTCTATCAAACACAGACAAAGACAAATCACTCTTGTATTCGTATTTTTTGGGTTTTTAAAACCGTTTTCGAATCGCTAGCTGCTAAAGCTCTCAAAGGTTTTCCCCGTTTTTGCCACATTTTCCACTGTTTCGCAGTAAGGTGTTATATGGCCTTAAACCTTTCTCGATAAATGTTCTATCTAACTCAAATTGTTTTCATTTGTTCGAACCTGAGTAGTTCCTCAAATTAGTGCTTTTAAACAAACAAACTGTTCAGCTGTATAATATTATTTCAAATAAAGTATTTATTAAATACTACATTCCGATTTAAAAATAACAATAAAACCAAATTGAGATAATTCATAAATTCTGGCTATAATAAGAGCCCATAAAACAATTCAGAGTCCCTAATATCTCAGTAATGACATAAAACTTCGACAAGTAATAAAAAATCTATCGCGTTCAATTTATTCGCGTACCGTAAATTTTTCGATGAAAAAACCTATCAAAGTACATTTTTCGTTCTATGTGAAGCAGAAGCCATCAAAATTCGTGGCAGTTTCCGCAGCTGAGGATATTGTGAGATACCTTATATTAAAATGTAATAAAATTCTCCAACGCTAATATAATTTCGCCGCATGGGCCGCCTGTTAGGTAGCGAACTCATGACTTTATTAGTTCACTATGTCGACTCTTAATAACCTTATATGTATTTAGTGAATAGAGGGTATCAAAGTGACAGCTTGTATCTTCAGTGAAATATTAAATTTTGATATTTCTATGTATTTATATAAACATTTTTGTTATATGTATTTGAACTTAAGTTACGTAATTTTGTACTATTAGTTAATCTCAATATTTATTATAATAAGTAAGTTATAGAAAAACGTTATAAAGAATAATATAACGGCATTGTACACCTGCCCTAACGGGGAGTGTGGGGGCGCTGTCGGCAATCAATCGATAGGCGACGCGTTGCCAAGCAACGATCAAGTTGCAAAATAAACAATCAGATCGAACCTCGCCCGTGAACAAATTTGCCTTCTTATTTTATTACTCGTGTCAACATTTTAGAAATCATCCGATTTTGTATCATGCTCTAATAGATCAATATGGTGCTACTCCCGCCGTGTACCCCGGATCTATGCGGAAGGGACTTCCGGAGTTCCTTGAAAAAGCCGAGTCCGAACTATCCGTATGGGAAGAAAAAAGTTCGCATCGTTCCCGCGTTCACTATTCAGGCGATGCAGAAAAACACAAAGGTGTTGCCGCCTGCAAAGTGCGGTGTGCTCGATCCTTTGCCTCCCAGGCCGACGATGTTCAGAAGATGTTATCAAAGGGGTGAATTTCCTGTCTCCATTGAGTTCACCAATAGCGGAAAACGGCTCCAATGGAAGGTAACGGCTATAGATTCATAGTTGAATGCTTTACATACGACATCTGACGATTTATTGTACTTTTCGCAACTTGTACGTTACGTTGTTGTGAATCTGTAATATTTTATTGCTACCACACTTTTGTAGATACGAGGAACAATTATTAGGTTATGAATTTAAAGTGGAACCTACTTTGTATGCTAATTTGTTTTTATAAAGAGAGACTATTGTTATGTTTTATATGTATTGTCTAAGAGCTCTTAGGTGTAATGGTAGCAATGTATGGCTAATAGATAGGTCGTAGATTCTACACCGTCTACCAAATTTAATAACGTTTCAGTTTCAGTCTGTGGACTTCCTAATATCAAAAATCTAAATAGGTCGATATCTCATTTTGTTTAGGCGTTGGCTTGTGTATTTCATCTATAATTAAGTAAACCCTATACGTCTATTATAAAAAAGCTGTTCACGCTCTACAAATAATAATTTATCAATTCAATTTCGTTTTTTTATTTTTTAGGTGCCAATAGAAAAACTAGACTTCCATCACTACTTGCCGATGTTTTTCGATGGACTCGCAGAAGCCAGTTACCCTTTTAACTTTATTGTGGAAAAAGGAATTAATGATCTGGTAACGAAGGGCTCTTATAAGATATTACCCGTGGTGCCTCAGTTGATCATACCGATAAAAAGTAAGTATAGTTAGATAAATACTAATACAAAAGTGGTTCCCACACAAATATTTACTTCTATAGTAGTTTTTTAAAACGACGATGAATAGATGTTGACATTAAATGAATGGTGATTAATATTTTCTTTAAGTGAAAGTTGTCACTATTGCTAATTCTGTTATAAAACAAACATATTACAGGGCTTTAATGTAAAACATCGAGAGGATATAATCATTAAAGATTTTACGTAACTGTCCTTTATAAATATTCTTCCGAAAATCCCACTCGAGGCTAATAACATTTAAAATACTCCGACTGTGTACTTAGTGATTCGATCTCTTGAAGACTGAGAGGGTGGAAAATCTGAAATGATAAAATTCCTACATGTAATCTGATTCGTGATAGCAAGAATTAGGTTTTCATTTTGATTTTATTAGGAATGTGAAATGATAAAGTACTATATAGATTATTATTTTCTATTTATTGGTCTCAGCGGTTTATTTATCAAGCTCTAAATATATTCGTTTTAATTCGGTTTGCATCCATTTATGCTATATATACAATAGTATTATAAATAAGTGGATTTGTGTGTTTGTAATGGATAAACTCTAAAAATACTGTGCCTATCTCAAATATTCTTTCACTTTTAGAACGGTACATTTGCTTGGATTAACATAAGTTATATTTATCTAAAAAAAAACTAGGTATACTAAACATTTAATAAACATAATCTAAGGAGTAAAAATTACAAAAAATCATTTGCGCATGCGCAGCGAAAACATTTGACAAAGAACAAAAGTGCGTGCTACATTATCTATACTAATATATAAAACTGAGAAAGTTTACTACCTGTCAGGAAATTTCAAGAAAACATTTGTTGAGGAAGACTATAGGCTATAAAAACATTATACTACGACTAATAGGAGCGAAAAAACAGCGGAAAAAGAACGGGGAAGACTATTCAATCTTGTAGGTTTCGATTGCGCACACGACGAAATCGGTTCAAAATACTCCAAAAAATATGTATTAAAGAATAGAGACTTGGACTATCGCTAACTACTCTATAGTTAGCGATAGTTCAAGTCTATATTTAAAGTAAAACTTGCAAAAACGTCGGGACGCGACCGACGTTGTGGGTAACAGCTTAAAAGTTTGATGCCCAAAATAATGGCGGACGAAGTCGCTGACACAGATAGTATATTATAATCGCAAGCAGCAAAGCTTCGTAATCTGTTTTCAATACATTAAAGACGTCATGAATTATTAAGGTACGAGGCACTAACGTGTCGTGTTTGTCTAGATGCGCTCGCGACAAAGCGTCCTTCTGTTCTATGCCATGCCCTCAAGTGTATACAGATGCTTGTGACTGGCAGCGACAGGGTGGGAGAAGCGCTCGTTCCGTACTATAGACAGATATTGCCGACGCTTAATCTATTCAAAGACAGAAACCGTGAGTATGTTGTGCACACATCCGTTTAAAACCAATATATTAGTGGTATACGTGTTTGCAAATTGTGGCTTCTTGACGTGTATATAAAATTTTGTAGTCTTTATCTTTATCACTTATCAAACTCTTCTGTAACCTTAAATGTTCCCCCGGGGCTCGAAATGATGACTTCGCACTCTTAAAGCTATAATAGGCTTTCTGAGGTAATGTATTTTTAAATGAAACACTTTTAACGGTTTAAAACGCGAAACATATTAGTTACCTTATACTAATAAGGTAACTAATATGTTTTGCTTCGTTAAAACACTAATTTTAACTACGACCTAACATGCTTTACAGCAGCCGTGGTTACCGGGGAACCCTTGGTAGTTGGAGGTCAATTCTTACATCTAGTAAACCAGCCCCAAGACCACGGTTGTTGCATAGCATCCGATACGCAATTTAAAACGCTAAATATATTAGCTGTCTTATTAGATCATATATTTTACGTTTAAAACCGTGAAAAGTGTTTAAAATAATAGAGATATTCTCAAATTGGCTACCGACTTTGCTATGTTAATAATGAGATAGTATTCTTGAAGAAAATCTCATCTTTGAAAACCAAATTATTGTGATTACATTTCTTTTAAATTGACATTTATTCAAATTAAACGTTTACCACAAAACTAGTTTTCTAGTTTCAGATGAATCAAGCTGTCTTGACAGACGTAAAGAGTTGTTCAATCGAGCACTCAAAGTACCCAAATGATTTACATACACTCAAAAGACAATAATCGAATAAATCACTATTCCGAAAAATAAAATTAACTACGAATTTTATCTCCGCCGTATCAACGCGATATATGCCACATTATGACAATCATCAATCATGCGTACAAGCATCAAATTGACGGGCATACGATATTGTTTTCAGTCTAATAGACTTGTCGGTTCAAGTAGATTAATTACGTTGTCAGGGTAACGATGTACGTTGAAATACGCCGTGAATTTCTGTCGTCACGTCGTCACCGTGGTCTGACACCCGACCGCATTGTTACTGAATTGTGAGCGCGCCGGCCTCGTTTTACCTACATTGAGTAAACGGGCGACTTTTCGTCGCAGGATCTTGCGACTGTATCTTTTTTAACGTTGCTATTGTCTGTAGTTTACGCGAGTGGTACACATTTTAATAAAACACTTTAACGGTTTAAAACGCGATATGTATTTGTTAAACTTATTTGAAAATTGTTTTTAACTACGCGCCCGACCTTCTTTCGTATATTACATATAATTTTTTTGTATTACAATAAATTATATGTATACATGAAATTTTAGTGTTGCAAGCCCTAAAAATTTAATAACTTAAAAACTAATATCGAAAATTTCATATGGGTGAAAAAGCGTGAAGTTTAATCGCGATTTGGTTTTAGCTTGTGGATTCTTGTATCGAAAATAGCCTAATCAGTAACCAAAATAGGACGACAGCAAATCTTGTCAGGATTTTATATGGCTGAAGTATTTCATTTTCCATCAAATGAACCGTATGCCTGTCTATCTTCCTCTATCATAAGAAACGAAAATGGTATAAAACATTTGTGTTGGTTTAAAACGCGGAATATATAAGTTAACTTATTACTTTTTACGGGGGAACAACGACTATTGCAAAGCATCCTTGTATATTACTTGCGTAAAGTACAAATAATACTAATAACGATATTTTGTTTATTTTTTATTATTAATAATACAATTAAGTACGATGTACAAAGTAGGACCTATGCATTGTGTTAAAACTTGCGATTTTAATTTACCGCACTGCGATTCAAAGTCGCAAGTCTACATCTTCATCCTACATTTCTCGTGTTACCAAATAGTTGCGGCCGAGGTTTGACGCCTCTTTCGTGATGTTTTGTGTCGTTTACTTTAGCGGGTAGCGTTTGCAAATTACAAACCTCTTTAACTCTACCTGAGACACGTCATTCTTGGGTAAATCTCGGCGTAAAGTTGAAATGACATCGCACAATGTTTGCTCATACGAGGGGGAAGTATGTTCTTTTGATTCCTAACAATGAAATGAAATATTGAGTCTGTAAAGGTAAAAATATAAATGATGTCTTGCCTAATCGTTTAATAACAGCCATGTATGATAACAAAAGTGTCGCGGGTTCGGTTACGTTAAGTGCGAGGGAATATTGAATTTTATGTTATTGAAAGACTGTACAAGGTCATAGTATATTTCCGAAAGTCTACTCTATACGCCTAAAAGATCACCAGAACATTATTATTACATGTAATAAGGGATGACATATCAAGCGAATCGTAAAAATTACTCTATTCGCTAAGTTTTGCTTATAAAGTATATAAAATATTTTATATTTATTTTTAATATAATTTGACATAGAATAAACTTGTCTATAGAATTAGAAAAACTATAAAATATTATATTTCTGTATAAGGATTCACTTTGAAATGTTTTATCTTACTATTGTCCGTATTTAGCTCGAATAGTACACGTTTAATTAAAAAAAAACTTTATCTTTAATGTATTTCTTTTAAGTACAGTTAGCAGTTTGGATGCTTTCTGCATTGTCACGGGGCTTTAAGAAGACATTTATGGTGTCCTGCCATGCCAATTTTAGCTAGCGTCATAGTTTCAAACGTAATTAGCATTTTGATGCCAATAATTAGGATAGCTTTACATAACACATTAGTGTCCTGTCATGTTACCAATAAAAACTAAGTTTTAAAGATTTTAATATTTTTGACGTCAATATTTCAGGATGGCACTATAACTTTAAAACATCAGTTGGTTGAATAAAAAAAGTTGAAAACGTATTATTTCGATGACGGCACTTTGGACATGGTAGCTCAATTGGTTAAAGCAACAGCACGGAACGCTGTGGATGCCCGTTGAAGTCCAATTTTGAAATTAACTAATACGTTCGCCTTTTAGACCGTTAAAAGTGTTTTATTTCAAGGTATTATCTAAGTCGCAAATTAACAAGAACACGACAGTAGCAGCTTTGATTGAGTGTCGCATTTCCTTGGCATTGTTATTTATCATTGTAACGCGCTCACCTGAATAGCTTAGTAGGCGTATCTATTGCGAAGCAGGTTTGTCGCTTCTGACATTAGAGATGCGCCGAATGTTAAACCGAAACCGAATGAATAAGTAAAAAGTTCGGCTTGTGTCGGTTGATGTTTGTGTCATGATATGAATAGTGATTTCAAACAAGATAAGGATTAATATTGATTTACTAACGTCAGTTATAAGTACGCACTATTTTTATGGTAATGGGATAGACAGATATCCATTTGATGTAGGTAGAATATTGGGTATGCTACCTACATCAAAACACCATACAAATCTGTTAACAAAATGCACCATCGACCTTCTGGCTTTTTGAAATGTACAGATTGGTACCAAAACGCGATTACAGTTCACGGTTTTTGGCTGTGGTTTGAAACCCGGCAAAAATTTGATATTCCTATCACCCATCAAATGTCTCCATTTACAAACGAAGTCCAAATTGTTTCAGAAAAATTTATCAGTAACATATTGGACGCGAATCGAACCATCGACCCGTTATTATTAGCAATACATTGCTACCATTGGAACAATGAGCACGTTGAAGTTAATTAAAAACTTGTGTTTAAAAATATTTAGATACATTTTGAATTGAATTGCAAAAACATTGCATAAGTTTTAAATTAAATAAAATACATAATCTAAGATAGATATGATTTTCTCTCGTTTTGAATTTTGGTCCAACCCTATTGAACTGGTAAAGCTTTTAGCAAATCGGTCTATGCTATTTATAAACATCTATCTATCTGTGTGGATGTAGATTCAAGTCCTGCCCATGACATATTTTTTGCAATCTAAATAAAAAAACGATTTTCAATTGTATCAATAATATATATTTTGTCTTGGTAAACTCTACAATAAAATTTTAATAAACTATTTTAACGGTTTAGAACGCGATATATATTAGTTTAGTTAAACTTATTTGAAAATTATTACAGTTATAATAATTTGTAAATTAGTTTAACTAATATATTTGGTTTAGTTTTTTTTTTTAATTTAGACGACTAATGTTAACTACAGATAGTATCTATAATTAAAGCTATATAGAATTCGTTTACTAATCTCGATTCTTAACGTCTAGGAAACATGGGATCTGGCATCGACCACACCAGCACTAAAGGAGAAAACGTTGCAGATTTGATTGAAGAGACTCTTCAAATTCTGGAACGTTATGGTGGTCCAGACGCCTTCATTAACATAAAATACATGATACCGACTTACGAGTCTTGCGTACAGAACTAGATTTATTTGTTTTTAATTATTTGTCATGGTCTATTAGTAACGGCCGACAAATAGATGTTAGATTTTTACCTGCTTGACTAGTTCTATGCGCTTGCGGCTCCGATCTCAAATAGATTTGCTTTAATTAATAGTTGTAGCTGTATTAGCTATTATATTTTAATAGTTTACTTTGGTAGGTAAAAATATTTTGATTAAATACTCATTGTTTTATAATACTTGTTGAGTTTTTGTTAACTTTTTTACTCTGTTTAAAATTTGTTAATTTTTTAAATAAATTTTGTGTGGTATTAAAACTTTGTTTAATTTACTACAAACGAAATCGATGATGTTAATTATATACATCCTAATTAGGTGCGGAAAAAACTATATAAGTAAGGTACTAATACAATAAAAATATAAAGTCATTCCGTATATCAATAAGGAAGGAGAAGGTGTCGCCATGTCCACGGCTACTGCAAAGCGTCCGAAACGTCGGGCCGTAGTTATAATATTTGTACATTCGTTTATTATATTTCGCGTTTAAACAGTTAAAGTATTTTATTCAAATGAGAATAATTTTTATTTAAACCATAGTAAGTCCTTATCTTAACCTTCAAAGTTTGAGTCCTGGGAAAATACCCTACATACTTTTAGTCGGACAGGTCACGACTGTGATGAGTTTATTCCCAGCAGCATAGTTAGATCAGTAAAACAGACACAGAAATGTGGCTGACCTTACCCACACAGATACAGCAAAACTAAGATGCATATCATACAGCAAACAGTGTTTGGTAACAGCGAGTGAGTTGATCGTGTTATGATCGCCTCACCAGGGAGTCGGTCAATATTTGGACCGAGTCAAAGCAATTTACAAGCGGAGCGGAGTGTCGGCACTATGCATGTCATTTGCATCGCAAATAATATTAGTTTTAGATGACGAATATCATTTCCATACTGTACCGTTCCTTGAGCGAAAGCTTATTTGATATTTCCAATCCGATGACTTTTGAGAACTGATTTATTTTAAAAAGAAGACTATTATAAATAAAACCTATTGCTAACAATGGACATATTATACCGAAATTCCGTCCGGGTCACAAACCACGCTCCACAGATAAAAAAGTTACGATATTTAATCACGTTTCGGCTTCAGTCTGGATTTTTTAATAACCAAAGTAAAAATAGTTCAACAGCTGGGGTAATACACTCTTATCAAGTTAACTATATACTTGTCTGCCTTCCGATATTATAAAAAAAAATCCTTCATGTTAAAACTAAAAATGGCGTTAGTGAGTATATAGTAGGTATATTCAAATAATGTTTATTTGCTTACGAATAATATATAATTTTATATTCTATTAATGTTCAATATTCATAAATGGTTTAACTTAAATACTGTATGTAGTTTACGCGACTAGTACACATTAAAAAGAACACTTTAACGGTTTAAAACGCGAAAGATAATAATTTAAGTTATTTTAAAAATACCTATATTAATTACGTTTGAATAAAACACTTTAACACATTAAAAAGTCCGGTATGGTTGACGGCCTCGGGCCAAAACACATAATAATCATAAACAAAATATTTTGTAGGAAACACGAGTCCCAGCTGTGGGAGGTGTGAGTCTGTTCGCCCTGTTTAAATGTTGGTACTCCAATATTACGAGATCTTGATGTTGAGACATAAATATCAATCTAATATCGTTGGTCTGAGTATCATAGTTATGCATGTAATAAAAGTGATATCCAAGCCTCTTTGATGTCGCCTAGCCGTCCTATCTCAGGTGAAGAGTTTTATGACAGACGTTATGAGCTCCTAGTATTAATATTTTCGAGGATCTCATAGAGTTATATTAAACCATTAGCTTATTGACTGTTTCCCGTATTTTTTGGCATATATATCTATGCTTATATATAAAGCTGAACAGTTGGTTTGTCCCCGCTCATCTCAGGAACTACTTATTCGAATTAAAAATGGTTTAAGATACCCAAAAAGTATGTATGAAAGAATGATTACTAATAAAATGTCAGCCACAATATAGGTCTATCTTTTAAGAGTAACTTACAAAAACGACAGGGCGCGGTCGGTGTCTTGGATAACAGCCTAAATTTATAAAGCAGAAGAGCAGGTATGTAAAACCAAATTTTGTTGCCATATCTACGCGGACAAAATCTCTGTTTCAGCAATTGCGCCCGTTAGTCTTGTAACAAACTAAAGGCTGTATGAAAAACAAATGCACCTAATTTACTGTCCTTTAAATTATTAACATTTTTAGCGGTTAAAACGGGAGTCACTTCTGGCCAGACTTTTTTTTATATTGAGGAGGACAGACCAACGTAGGGTTTACTTGATGGGAGATAAAATACTCCAGCCATATGACATCTAAGCAAGATGCGCAGTCAACCAATTTTGGCTTCGGATATTCGGAAAAATTCTCTATATACCAACTATGACCAAACATGGCTTAGAACCGTTAAAGATATCATATTTAATTTTACGCCTCACTTAAGCAACACACATTTTAATAAAACACGTTTAATGTTTCAAAACGCAAAATTAATTACCATGTATTTTAAATTGCCCGATTTTTTCAGCATTCAGACGATTTGCAGCAGTCGTGGTCACGGGAAGGCTAAAGATGGAGAGTGACCTAAATTAAAGTAACCATTTCGCGTTTTGAAATATTAAAATTGATTGTTTTCAATGTGTACGTAAACAGTCAATACTTTTCTAATATGTTTTAAAAAAACACTTTAAGTGTACCACGGTAAGGGGGACGTGGTCTCCCCGTGACCAAGGCTGCTGCAAAGCATCCAACACATCTGGCCGGAGTTCAAATAATTTTCAAATAAGTTTAACTAATATACTTCGCGTTTAAAATCGTTAAATTATTTTATTTAAATATACACTCGCGTAAACTACAGACAGTATTTAATATTATCTGGTAGCTAATAAAGCTCTGTATATTCATTTATAATATCAGCTTTTATCGATGTCAGGTGTATCAACAAGCACTATCTCGGCGTTATAAATATTAATACAAATGGCGGATCCAGCAGTACATTTATCAGCGGGTCGCAGCCGGTTGAGAAGCGACACCTTTTTAGACGTCTCACATTTATAACCGGACACCCGGATATAAAACTGCTAGATGAGGCAGGAATAACTTTTGCTTCATAGGATTTAGTACGTCTTTTATGACAGCGGAGAATAGGCATTGAGTTGACTTGATGAAGTCGAAATAGCCCAAGGCTATATAACAGTCCGTTAAGACGCTCTGTAGATTATTTTGGCTTTTGATAGTTGATATATACTATTGTATATAATAGAGAAGGACAGAAAATCATGTGGTAATTTAAAATTCGAAAATAAATTGACTCGGGCAGGACTTGAAGCGGCATCGTCAGCTTTCCGTGCTGTTGCTCTACCAATTGAGCTACCGAGTCCTACACCTCATCGTCGAATTTTTTTCAACTTATATACATGCACCTCTCACGCAATGTAACTTCAACCTTAACACTTGTCTTATGGTGCGCATAATCATGGAGTAACTTAAAAAAGGGTGAAATACTTCAGCTTTACTAATAAGATGCGATGTCCAAACTGAAATACGATTTAAAACAGCTTTATCATCTATAGATACGTGACCTGGATGGAATATCGATATGTCTATCACCCGTTTAATATCTAGATTTTCAACATGTTTCAGAAAAATTATAAATGAATTGACTCGTATTGGACATGGTGGGAATCGAATCCACGACTCGTTGATTATTAGCCATACAATGCTTACACCGACGAGCCCGTCAAGTATGTGATATCTTATTAATTATAATTGTATAATCTGAATATCTCATAAGGACAATTTTGCAACAGGATTATAATTTTAAAGTATTGTTATTGTTAAAAATAATTGCCTAAAGGTTCGAATCCTGGGAAAACAGAAAACTGTTTAATTAAGACGACGTTGTATGGAATCAAGAATTGCCGTAGACATTATAATGTGGCTCCCCCATGCCCGATCTAGGAAATAACAAGAAATATATACAAATAAATTTCTCGCTGTCTGTCATTATTATTTGTATGTTAATTTTGTTTACTGTTCTTTAATTTATCGTATTTTATAACGACGCATATCTAGAACTACCGAATCATCTACAACGCCCGCCCAGACTCAAATAATTTATCTTAGGAGCAATCAAGACGGTAATTTTCGTGAAGAGTTCGCCCCAAAACTATTCGAGACAGTCCTTGGCTTCTATTGTGAGCATTACAACGATTTTTAACGGTTCAAAACGCGAACTTTACTAGTTAATTAATTTCGAACCACTGCTAAACTACATTTTTCGGATGCTTTACAGAAGCCGGGCAATTATTTATTTAACAATAAAATTTTCGTAATTTTAACATACATATGTGTTAGCTTTGGCTATATATATTTAAAAGAAAAGGTGAATGCATGTTTGTTGTGTTCATTTTGATTAGTAAAACAAAAGCTACGCAATCTATTTAGTTGGCAAATTACCTAGTTTTTACTAAAGAAAAATATATTTAAGTCAATAAAAAAATAATTATTAGCCGTAGATTGTGTCCCAGACACAATTTCAATGTCTTTTTAATATCAAGATTTTCAGACATCTTAACGTGAAAAATTATAAAGTTATTCTTCAGAATAACATCAAAAACATCAAAAACACACCCTTCATTTCTAGTAATGCATCTCTACCACCGAGCCCCATACGTTACAAAATCTAGATCAAAATGTAAGAACGAACATGTGATTTTAACTGGCATAACATGGAGTGAACTTTACAATAATATTGTCTGACTAGCGCGTTGAATAATGGGCATATATTAACTGGATATTAGAACATTATAATTTGCATACAATCACAAACGTAAACAGTAACTTCTTCTGTGGTCTTCAAAAACGTACATAGAAATAATTAACTTAAAGCATAACGCGCTTTAAAAATAAAGTATTGCGACTATAGACACTGTATTATAATAAGGTTCGA